AACAGAATTATAGATTAAAGCCCTATTGGCATGAAAAAAACAATTTTCCTATTAAAATTGTCAATTCGACCTAAACGGTCAATGTTATATCCTGTTTTCGGATTCTGCAAGCTAATTCCAAATTTTGTTGAGAAATTCGATGAAATTTCTACGCAAAATTCTTTTGAATATTAGGATCGCAGAATGTGCAAGTAGGTTGCGGAGTTATTTATTTAAACTTATTGTAACACCCAGTGGTGGCATAATTTTGTTACTAATAAACAGATGACACTGGTAGTACCTTTTTAAATTAATTTTGAGGTATTCATCGGGCGCAGGTAGTAATACATACTTGGATTGGTGGCCGCACGGACTCCCCCTCTCTGCATTACTTAGTTTAAGTTCTGCCTCTACGCTAGAAGGCTCAAGGCTAAGCCACTACCCACGTCTGACGTTGCTTGACTTTAGCAATTGCAGGAATTCATGGTAATGAACCATGCTATGGCCGTTATCTAATAGTACCCAATTAAAAACTTAAAATAATTTAATCTAATGGGGTACAAGGTCTAAAACCGCGACTGAAAGTAATAAATTTTCTTCATTTTTAAACCAAATTACCCAATAAACAATTTTTATTATAAACAAAATATATTATTTATGTTTTTTAACTATTGTAATCCCAAACTATACCACTATATAACTAAAAATGAATTTAATCAGATAAAAATCAATTTGTTTGTTCACCGGCATAATTTCCACGAAAGTCACTAACAATATTCAAACACATCGATCAGAAGCCACCCGGGAGCAACACAAACGACTAGTTGAGATCGCGGTGTGCCGTTGGAGGGTTATTTGCGTGCAGCTACCCAGCTAGCGGGTTAATTTCGCTAATAAACTGCAATGCCCGAAACGTTTCATCGCTGCTCTCTTCACAAGCAAATATTAGCATATGACTAGACTAGACATCCGCCAACATCCTTCAGTCTTCCGCTCATCGTTTCATCATGTCGTTCAACGGTTGTTTAAATATGTACACCTGGGGAATTTTGCTTTGAAGCTTTGAAGATGACTTTTATCCGAAAAACAACGTCACTTTATTTGATTGAATATTAATTTAATTAGTGGCTTTTTTGGTTTTATTTAAAACAAAATTAACAACACCATTATTCTTGATCCTGTATTTTACTCAATTGTATTTTTGAAATAAGAAGAATCCAGAAAACAAATAAATTCAATAAAAAAAAATATTTTTTTAAATTTTCTTGCATTTTTAAAATTATTTTCTTAACTTATAATCATTCCTTTCGCTTTTAAATAAGTTTCAACGCCAATGAATTAAATCAGTTCAGTCGTTGGCGAGTAACAATCGTTAAAACATTTTTATAAATATTTTCTACAATATTTTCAAAATTTAAGTGCCTAGCTAAATCTTTCTAATATTTTAATACCTTTAAAATTAGAAGCTAAAGATTTTTCCTTCCTAAGACCAAAAATCCCATCTTTTACCCTCCGCCAACAACCCCTCTACGCTTAAAAAAAGACGCTTGTAATTTTTAAACGGCACGCAGGATTAAAATGTAATAACTCGGTCGCCCGACTGGAAATTACATTTTTAATTTGAATAACTCTACTCGGGAAGAGGAGGGTGATTGTTGATTCAAGCGTTAAGGGCGAACGTGACGTTTTACAATCTTCTTCTTTGCGTTCTTTTCTTAATATTTTTAAAAGACACCAACGAAAAAAATTAAGTGTTAAGGGTTGGGGGTTAAATGTTGCAGGTTGTAGGTTTGGAGTAAGACCAAGTCAAGCGCGTCTACTTGCAACCAATCGAGCTAGGGAGCTTAAAAAGTATTCGCAGGAAGGTGGGTTGCTTCAAGGGTGGCGGATGGCCAAGTGCCCGCCTAGATCAAATCTGATCACGTACGCGGACACCTAATCTCGGCACGTAATGAAAAATATGAGGTTCGTTAACGCCAACGCCAAGAAAACCAGCGTAAAGCCCTATTAGCACCAAGAACAGAAAAAAATAGTCTTCAAATTGACATCTAATAAAGTCCCATTAACTTAACCTTATTTAAAGGTAGAAATACGTTGAAAAAAATTAAGATGCATGATGGATTCAATTGTCTTTGTGGTCTTCTAAGTCTTTCCGAAAGGTAAAGGGCTTGAATCAGTCCCAGGGAGGTCAAAATCTGCATCCGATAATCTGCTTGCGGTGGCGTCGAAGGTTCGAACCACAATCTATACTCTCCTCAAGACAACTCAGGACGACTCCGACTGGAACAACACGCGCGGTGTTTTAAGAGGGGGTGGTTCACCCGGGCGGTGGGTGGGTGCTCCGGGGTTAAGATCTCCGATCTCGCGAACAAGGTGGATGCGATCATGCTAATGCTTTTACACCGGCACCGCAAACTCGCAAGACGTAGCAGCGTGCGGGGGGTGGTTGGAGGCGGCGGCTTTAATGCGGCTCAGCGTCGTCTTATGCCTAATATGCGAAAACACATTTGGCTAATTCCCGCGCGAAGAGTTCAAGCGCGCGACTGAATTAACCCACATGAGATCAGAAGAGAAAATCGATCCGTTGCCGACTTATATTTAAATACTATATGTGTGTGTATCTGGTTGCCTACGTTATTTATCTTTTTTAATTTTCAGAGAAAATCAGAGTTTTAATAGACTTAGACTTACTGGATGTTTGAATGCTTGGATGCTTGTGCCGTGGGGTTTGTTTCATAAGCCCGAAGCATATTTACTCGTTTTTCCAAACGATTCGGTCCGAAGACAATGCGCACGCTACTCGAGCTACTCGGTTGGCAACCAGTATTACACAGCACGCGAGCGCGCTTCGAGGGCGATCTCGCAATAATCCCGGTATAATGGCAGCGTAATTCTTTCGCGTCTCGCGCACCACGCGAAACGAAACGACGGATGCAACTCTTTTCCTGATCTCCCCCGCCCGACTTAATGTATTCCCGGCGCGATGCCGGCGCGCAATTGGAGCAACAAAAAACAATGCGATGCTTTTCTTTTCGGGGTCGGGTGGAAACAAAGACGTCGAGCAGAAAAGACGCAAAGCCGCGGCGGGGAAATTAAGACGCGATGGGTGGGCGTTATATTTTTAACCGTTTTAATGATGAGCATCGGGCGAGTCAGGCACAAAAGACGGCCGTAACAAGGATTCGGACGGGAAGAGTACTATGATTGAAGGATTATTATGTTGGACTGGTGGAAAACAGTTTAAATTCAAGAGAAAAGTTGTTTTCTGATGTTTTGCTAAATATTTTTGTTTTAAAAACTTATTTTTACGGCTAACTAATGAGTTTCATTTTTAAATTTAGACTTATTAAAATTGTTTAATTAAATATTGAATTATTAAGATACTTTCACGTATTTAAATTTTAATGTATGTATGTTCCCTTTTATCTCCCAAACGTGTTGATCGATTTTAATGAAATTCTCAGATATTCTTTAGATTATCCCAGCGAGTAATTAGATGAAGTTTAAAAGCCAAATTAAAACTTAAAAAGTGTAAAATTCGAGGTAAAAATTGATATGAAGATTTGATTAAAGTTATAGTTACATAATTCTAATCTAGATGGCATAAAATTGCTATAGAATTTTAAATGATTTAAAATCAGTAAGTTTTAACTAAATATTAGAAAAAATGTTGCATTTTGGTTTTTGGAGGTACGGGCTCTTATAAAATTATTTTTTATAGATTAGCAATGTATATTTGGAAAGTTTTAATAATTGCAATTAGTTTTACAAATAATAAAATTTATTAAAAAATATATTTACCAATTTTTCCAGTCTTTTGTCCCGTTCAGCTATAAATCTCGTCCTGTGGCCTAAGTCGCGCTGTCGCTTCGTTAAAGAAGGAAGAAGGCTTAAAAGTTAATGTGCGTTTTTGCGATGGGGGTGGACTACCCGCTCCGCGCTGAATTCATTCTGCTGGCTTGGAAGCGAAAACGAAAGATTAAAATGTCGTTTGCGTGCTCGCCGTCGCGTAATACCGACGCTTTAGTGCTTTCTGATATTCTTTGCGTAAATAACCATCTCGGGCGGGCCGAGGGCCGGGGATGAAAAGATGCGCGTCGCGAAGAATGCACGAATTTAAGAATGTAACGAGAAGAAGGAAAATATGATAGACGATTGAAGTCTTAGCGCGATTGTTATGCAAAACGGCGGTGAGGACTTTCGAGGACACACCTGAACGGTGGGTCTTTGAGGACGATGAGGGCAAATCATCCTTTGAATTAGAAAGATTTGCGGTTTGCTTTTGTTACGGGAAAAATGAATGATTACTGCTTTCTGCGCACTTTTAAAAACAAAAATTTGCAAGTTTCTTTTAGGTTTTTACTTTAATTAATATTACTTATTAATATTACTTTATTAATCTAGAAATAATTTTTACTTAAGCAAATTTAAGTAAAAAAAATGGACAAATTAAGTTTGTGAACAAAAATTTGCCTATGTTAAAATCGTAAATTTCAATTTGTTGGCTATTCTTTGTACTGCTGAGTACTTATATCGGAATTTTCTAAAATTAAACGATATTCAAACAAATTGTACAACATTTATAACATTTTTAACCAATTTTTTCTTATTGTTTTTAAATTAACACAAAAACACAAAATCATCAACTTTAGTTGAATGTTACAACGCGCCAGCTACGAATTTAATGAAATAATCATGCAATCGGAAATGTGGCACGAGTCTCGACTTTTGATCTTAATCTTCTATCTCTAAAGGCCATGCGAAATAATGACTAAAAAAATATTTGATTTTAATTCCTGCACTATTTCTGAAACGTTTTTGATAAAAATAAAATAAAATTAAATTAAGTATTATTAAACCGTTACTTGTCAATTTTATTCCTCCGGAGATGATTTATTGATGCTGCTTGTATATGTGTCGCGCTTGTACTTTTGATGATTTTGATGAATAGATGAAATGAACGCTCCACTTTGACTCGCCTGCTGGCAAACGAAAGCACTTATTGTGTTAGTCTCATTTCGAGTCGTCATTGTCGTTTTACGCGACGCATTATTTCTCCTGTCCGAAACTCCGACGCGATCTAGCTTCTATAGCTTTGCCTTAGACTTAGAATGTGCGCGTACTTTTGTGTGTGTTGAAAATGGCTCAAAATGGCACTGAGAAAATTAAAACGTCGACATCTGTGACAAATTTAAATGTGGAAGATAATATTTTATTAAATGAGGAAACTTCGTGTGGGATATGGTTTGTCAAGGGTAGTTTTCTGCAACGGTTTGCAAATAAAAAGGCGTATGTTTTTCTGTATGGGATTTTGGGGTGTTTGTTTTCGGCTACGTTTGCGTATCATAATGGGACGATAACTACGCTTGAGAAAAGGTTTAAAATTCCAAGCAGGAATTCAGGTATAATTTTTTAAATTAAGAAATTTTTACAAAAAAATAAAAAAATTAAAAATAAATAAAAATATCTTTCTAGGAATTATTACAATTGGTAATGACCTAAGCACAATGATAGTCTCCGTAGTAGTAAGTTACTACACAGAGCGTAAACATCGTCCTCGATGGATAGCACTAGGTTTGTATACGGTGGTCATCTATTGCCTCTTGACGGCATCACCTCATCTGCTCTACGGCGCTGGAGACGACGCATTGTACCTGACGAAGGAGTACGGCGCCGATTTCGACGAAGATTCCACATCTTTTTCATCCTTGCCTTCTTCTTCATCATTGCACTCGGCGTCTGTGGAGAGGCGCACGCTTTGTTTGCGCGACGCGAATGCCTCGCACGTTGAGTGTGAAGTCGAAGACGGAAATTACGCGCCGCAGGCGATCTTCTTCAGCGCACAATTTATTTCCGGTATTGGTGGGCCACTCTACTATACGTTGGGACTTGCCTATCTGGATGATAATGTCAAGAAGTCTAAGACGCCGGTTTTTGTCAGTAAGAAATACAAACAATCAAATAAATAGAGCTTTTTTTTTATTTTTTGCTTAAAAGAATGGTTTTGAAGCATTTTTCAACAAAAAAAACTTATGTTTTGGTCAGTTAATTAATTTTAGCTTATTTTTTTTGCAAAAATATAGCGAAAAAATAATAAAAAATGTTTTTTGCTTTTAAATTTAACGAAAAACCATTAAAAATGATAGGGTTATGCTTAAAAAACAAATAATTCGTCTATTAACAATAGTTTTATAATTTATAAATTTATTTCTGATACTTTTAGGTTATTCCTACTTTTTGCGAATGTTGGGTCCATGCATTGGCTACACTCTTGCATCCTTCTGTTTAAAAATCTACATCTCCCCTACGTTGACGCCAACAATCACAAATGATGACCCTCGATGGTTAGGCGCATGGTGGCTCGGCTGGATAATCCTTGCCACCCTTATTTTTATTTTCGGTTCTCTAGTTGCTCTCTTCCCGAAAACATTACCGCGTGCTGCGGCACGTAAACTACAACGACAAATCTCACACCAAGAGCACGTGGAAAATGAGTTGCCTACATCATTCAAAGGTAAAAATTATAACCTCATTTCTAATCTATAATTATACTTATTTAATATTTGCGTTACAGATATGGGAGTAACTTTTAAAAGAATAATATCCAATCCAATATTAATTACGAATAACCTAGCGGCCATTTTTTATTTTATTGGTTACATGCCCTACTGGATATTTTTGCCAAAATATATTGAAACACAATATAGACAATCATCGCCAGCGTCATCTTTGATTACTGGAACTGTTGGGTTAGTGTTTAGTGCGATAGGAGTTTTGTTATCTGGGATTATTATTTCGAAATTTAAACCGAAAGCAAGAAAATTAGCAGCTTGGAATGTGATTGTTGGAGTGATATCCATTGCAGGGATTTATTCCTATGCATTTTTGGGATGTGTGGAAAGTGATAACAGGGCACCTGTGGGACCAACAGGAGAGTAAGTATATAATTATTTAAATCTTTTAACGCAAAACTAAAAATTCAGTAGAAATTTGCTACTTTTCAACCTTTAAACATAAATAACTCAAGAACAAGTTTCGTTACAACAAAACTTTAAACGATATTTAATTTCTTATAGAATAAACCCGATATTACCATGCAACGCTGATTGCGGATGTGATTTCGACGTGAAATACAGCCCAGTTTGTTCTACAGACGGAAGCACCGGCTTCCTCTCAGCGTGTCATGCTGGGTGCACCCATCAAACAATGATCAACGGCACCAAACACTATACAGACTGTTCGTGCATACCCACATCTACCGAAGATTCTAACCAAACTCACCAAGATGGAGTGGCGAAGCAAGGAAATTGCGCTGTGGACTGCACATCAAAGTTTTATATCTTCCTCGTTGTTGTATGTTTGCTCAAGTTTTCGGGAGCTACAGGGAAGGCTTCAAATTATTTAGTTACAGTCAGGTATTGTTTTGTTATATATTTTGAGTTAAAGTTGATTATTAATAAATATTTTTGAGGTTAGAAGCGTTGAAGAGAAGGATAAAGCTGTTGCGATGGGTTTCAGTCTTACTATGATGAGTTTATGGGCTTTTGTACCATCACCAATATTATTTGGTATTATAATAGGTAAGAAATAGACTTAATTGACTTAAGTCAAGTTAACCTGCTTAGTTTAAGTCAATTAGTCTCAAATTAAGTGACTTTAACAAAATTTAAAAAAAAATGTTAAAAAATATATTATTTTTAGATAAAGCTTGTTTATTATGGGGTAGAACCTGCACCGGAAATGGTAATTGTTGGTTATATAATGGCGAAACTTTACGCCATACCATGAACTACACAGCAGCGGCATTCGTCGCAATTGGAACATTTTTCGATGTTGTGGTGTGGTATCTCGTCAAGGACCTGAAAATATTTGACGAAGAAATCACTGAACTTGAATATGTCAAAGATTTTATCAAACTGGAAGACGAAGTCAAAGACACCGACGTAAACCATTCAACGAAATAATTATATATAACATAACATTACAATAAATCCAAACAATTCATTAATTGTATTCATAAAAACATAAATAAAAATTATAACGTGCTATGTCCCGGCCTGACTATGTCATGCAAATATACAATGTGTTTGTGTGCATGTAGATGATGAGATGAATAATTTATAAGTTTGTTTCGCTGAAAGTACTCTTCCGTTGTAAGCATTTAGGCGATTCCTCATCATTAATTCGTGCTAATTCCAAATCAATATCAGTATCATTCATTCCTTCACTATCAGTGTATCCTGGTGCATCTTCTCGGCCATTTAATGATAAATCATCACAACTATTAAAATCATGATCAGAATTGACATTGTTTTGTTTCTGTAGTACTCGTTTTGTAACACGAGGCGTTGGTTCACTTGAGGTTAGGATTGGTTCCTGTACATTCCCATCAGGTGTTATCCTTGCAGCTGAAGCCAACACTTGATGCAAACTTTTCCTTAGTGATTCCTCATGATGTTCTGTTTTTCTTAATCTTTCTTCTTCTAAATCCTCTTCCTCTTCGGATCTAACACTACTAGATTCTGGAACGTGGGAGGTTCTATTTGATTCTGCAGGGGCGTGGCTTGAACCACTCTGTACCGGATACAAATTATTCAATTCAGTTGGTTCATCTTCATCTTCATCTTCCGAATCTTCTTCCTGTACAGCTTCAATTCTTCGCGGTATTCTCACACTAGGTGTGCCTAGATTCTGTGATCCTCGTCGTTTGTACATGTTGACTTGCCCCGCCCCTCGCAACATACACACCGCCATTATTATGCTTAACACCATAAATCCGATGGTTACCAGACTGATTGTCAAAGCAAAGTGTTTGGTAAAGATGAAGCATTCGTGATTGTATGATTTCTTACAGTGTGTTGATTTAATCAATTCGTAAATCATTTTAAACGGAAGATAAGGGAGAAGTTGAACACCTAGGAGGAGGAATGCAATACCAGATGATTTCAGTTGTTGGTGGCTTACTGTACGCAACGCAATCAATACATGGACAATGTAAGCGCTTACGATCAACCCAAAAGTGATTACAGAGTTTGCCTCCGCAAAAAATGCCACTACTTTGCATTTATCTTGATTACAAGAACCTGCTGAAGCCTTAAGAGATTTTTTACCACATTGGCAACCAAAATAACCCTAGAAATTTATAATATACTGAGTGTCACCAAAAATTAAAAAAAATAAATTTAGCTTACAGTTGAATTTTTTTCAGCGCATCCTGCGAAACATCCAGAATAATATGTTTTACCGTCCAGGCACACAGGATCAAAGACATCAATTTTACAGTTGCATTCATGATTGCATATGTCCTCAACTTCATTATATTTGAAAAGTGAAGTTTGGTCTTCACATTTTAAAAATGCATAGCTTGAGAAGAATCCTGTTATTGCTATGTAAGCAACAATTAACCAAACAACGTAGAATTTTGTGCTTGGCCGATGACGGAAGAATATCTGTGACATAACTAGGACTATGACACACATGAAGAGCAATGCGGAGACATTATAGAAACTAAAGTGGTAGTCAAAGTCATCAGCGAAGTTGACGAAGCGTGATCGGAAGAACTCTTCGCGCATTGCATTGAAATTCAAAATGGCGACGTGCATGAATGTGGCCGCCAGCGTATTAAATAGAACCAGATTAGAAGTGAAGAGGGAAGTTATACTTTCCCAGAAACCCAATACTTAAAAAATATTATTAAAAAATAAATAAATTACAGAAATACTAATTTAATCATGTTATCTGATACCTTTTGTTTCTTCTTGATTTTGTTGCTGTTGTGAGCGACCATTGTTGGTGCTTTGTCGATGTAGAAGAGTATTTACCCCTGCACGTACTAATACTCTATGAGGTACTTTTGAGAATAAGCTTATCAGGAAACCAAAGACGAAAATCAATGTCAAAGTCACCAACCAAGCTAAAATTAATAATATTTAAATATTGATCCATATTTTTCTGTTTATATAATACCAAATGAAAAAAATAGGTGTCGATTGAATGCAACAGGTATCAATGTCAAGTTAAGACCAATAAAACGTCCTATTTGAGCAGCTGCAACAACAAAACCTGGAAACAAACATACATTTTTTAATATCTCTGTAGATAAAGGATGTACTTTAAATTATACAGAGTGTCCCACTAATACAACTGAATCTTGTGTAATTATGCATGTTTGTATATCAGAAACACTCGGTATTTTAATTTCTTACAAATAAACGTTGGAGTTGTATACTTTTTGCATCCATCATCGATATAAGCAACACCGTGACTCACTATTGATACAAACGCAAGTCCATTTACCAATTGATAAGCTACCAATATCCCCAAAGCAATATAACTCTTTCCGTCATCGAAAATCTCCTCCAAAGGAATTAATTTTGAAGTTGAGATTTTGCATAATGTTTGATCTAAAACTATAAATTAAATATATTAGAAAAATGTTTTGAATTTATTATATTATTACCTGCGGAGGTATTCAAAGACGCGTATTGTGGATGATACAGTTCTGGAACTATAAGTATCCATCCTCCAACGGCGTGAATCATTGCTAATCCACCAATGTAAGATGGCCGATGAATGACACTACCGTAATGCGATAACACCAATGAAAATAAGCCGCCAAAAATTGGATTCAGGTAAACAACCCATTCTAAAATACAAAAATAATAAATTTATTTATTTAATATGTATTTTTATAGATTTTACCTGCGGTTACTTCCGATATGTGGTAGTTAAAGCGCCATAATTTCGCTGTGCCGACAAAATAGCTTGCTGCACATGCGTGTAATATTACCAAGGCGCTGAGTAAGCTCACAAACACTGTATTACGATTATACTTTTCCAGTTTGAGTTTCGTAGCTAGCCAGGGTAGTACATTGAGGCCACAATCGGGTGGTTCTGCGTGAATGTTGCCCACAGGGGCTGAAAATGCCCCTACGTCTGAAGGGGACCGAAATAGCTCGGTCGGATGCACCATTTTCTGTGATGAACTTGCTTGGCCAACATACGGGTGTAACCTGGCGAATTTTAGGTTGTGTAAAGGTGTAAACACACGAGATAAGATAATGTAGACATGATTAGATTAGAAGTTAGGAGAGTGTTATCATTTTTTAATTTTTTTTATTAGAGGTAAAATTTTTATTTTTTTTTAATTTTATTTTATGGCATGTTCATACAAATTAAGATCTGTCATAATAATCATATTTATGTAAAGACTTTCTTGGCGCGCCGCTTACAACTTGATAAATATTTTCCGTCTCCTCTTGACGTGTAGAAGGTAAATATACATGATCAAGATTTAATTCAAACGATTCATGGGTGTTTGCAGCTTTTGAGATATCTTCATTTTGTTTCAACCATCGCATCATACAAATAGTTGGAATAAGACTCAAAATAATAAACATGACTGTAGTAGCAATAATCCCGAAAGAAAAATATTCTGTGTATGTAAAGCACTGATTATCGAACCATTTGGCGCACAGTGACCACTTTATAAAATCGTAGATAAATTTAAACGGAAGATACGGAAAGAGCAGCACTCCCATAAAGAGAAAACTCACACCAGTCGCTCTCAACTGATAATTGTTCACTGTACGTAACACAATTAATATGTGAACAATAAAAGTGCTCACAATCAAAGAAAAAATAATCATCAAATTAAACTGCGCTGTGTTTGCAATTGTTTTGCAGGCTTCTTTGTAGCAGTAACCTGGGAAGGCCAAATCCGTGCTTGTTCCACATTGACAATTAAAAAATCCCTGGAAATATTAATAATTTTCATAAAATTTGCTATGTCTAATGAGAAGAACATTACTTACACTTGAATTTTTATTTGTGCATCCAGCAAAACACGCAGAATAATACGTATTTCCTCCAAGACATACCGGATCAAACTCAGTTTTACAACTACAGTTTTGGTTGCATTCTTTTATAACTGATTCATTTTCAGATAGAGTTGTTTCAGTGTTACACTGAAGAAACGCATAACTGATAATTATTGTCAGTATTATTGAGTATGCAGTAATTAACCAAATGACCAAGAATTTTGTAGTTGGAAGTTTGCATACGTAAATTTGTGACATAACGACGACAATGATAAATATTCCAAAAAGTATCCAAAGATTGAAACGGTTATTGTAGTTGTAATTGAAATCAAATGTGCCACTATTTAAAAAACGCGAGTCGAATAGATCCTTGCTTATTGTATTGAAGTTAACAATGCCTATATGCATAAATGTAGCGGATAAAATGTTTAAAAGTAGAAGTTTTGAAGTGAACAGGGAACGTATTCCACCGAAGAAACTAAAAACTGTAATAGTGAAAAATAAAGTTAAAACAAATAAAAATTAATGAGGGTAAACTTATTATTTACCTTTTAATTGTTCATAATTGTTGGTTTCATTCCCTGATGTACATTTTGTAGAGGAAATTGTTAATAAACCACAAATAAAAAATATTCCAGCCACTGGTGACAACCAAGCTAAAAATAAAGCCATAGTTATAAGAGAGTATTTATAATTTAACATAAAATGTTTTTTTTTTATTATCACATTTAAATAGCCAGTTTCTCCACGAATTTGAGACAAAACAAAGGTACTTTAAACACGGACGACCATAGCCGTGGCTAAAGTTCTTTAGTCACGGGTTTTAGTCACGAGGCTTGCGTCATGTGGCTAAACGTTGATAAACGCTTACTTTTCATCAATCTTGTTTAGCCACATGACACGTAATATATTTCTATATAAATAAAATGTTTACCCCAAGAAATAAATATTGACTTATTAATAAATATTGAAGCTGATAACATATTCAGTCCTATAAATCGTCCAATTTGAGTAGTACCAATCAACAAACCTGTAAAAATACTTTATAATATGCCATTTCATAAAAAACAAGTCTTAATATTACTCACATACATACACTGGAGTCAAATATGTTTTATAATCTAAATCTACAATTCCAAACGTAGCGACCGATACAAAAGCTATGCCATTAATCAACTGATAAATCACCAAAACGACAAAGTTATAATTCTCATCTTGTTTTGTGTTAGTAAATTCATTATTGTTACATAGCTCCAAAGTAGTCAAATTCGATACTTTATTTGAACCATTCAATTCTGGAATGATAAGTGACATACCACTAAGCGCGTATAGAATGATCAACACTATGAAGAAAGGTCGATGAATTAAATTTCGAAATTTTGATAATACTAATGCAAAGAGACCACCAGCAATTGGACTTAAGGAGATTATCCATTCTAAAATAATAATTTTTTACTTAAATCTGTATTTAAGTTTAAATTTGGGGCTTACCTGTGAATCCATCCGTGGTTTCATATTGCAATCGCCATATTTTACTCGTGGCTATGAAGTAGCTCGTTAAAAACGCGTGCAATGTGGCTAAACTGCATAGTAAAATCAATCGCAGATCATTATACAATTTAGCCATCTTGTTGCAAGCGGATTATGAGTAATAACTAATGGATCATTATACTGAATATTTTATTGAACTGTAGTCGGCGAATTCTTACTCAGACTGTAAACATACAGGATAAGATAAAATATGATAAGATTAGAAAGTATTTAATGCAGTTTATGTCAAATAATCATAATCTTTGGATGATGAAGGAATCTCATCTGAATTTTCTTCTGTTTCCATTATAACATTATACAAATCTTCTGTTTCTGTTGGTACATGTAAGCTTTCAAGTGTGGGTTCATATAAATAATCTTCTGATTGTATTTTTGATGTTTTTTCCATCTTCCGCACCCACCATAACATGCACATCGTTGGAATTATACTCAAAATCATGAATATGATAGTTGTAGTAATAATAACCGAAGTTAATTCTTCCGTGTATGCTACACATTCATTGCGAAACCATTCCATACAATGAGACCAATTTATCACTTCATAGATTAATTTGAACGGATGATATGGAAAGAGCAAGATTCCCAAAAGAAGAAATCCAATTCCAGATGCGCGTAAGTTATGGTGGCGTACTGTACGCATTGCAATTAGCACGTGGATCATGAAAGTGCATACAACCAGTGAGAAAATAATCACGAAACTAAATTGAGTAATTAATACATCTGTGAGGCATAGAGTTTCACTACAATAACCAAGAGTAGCATGGGCGTCGTTTGTTCCACATTGGCAATTATAATAACCCTATAAAAATAATAATAATACAAAATTTGATTTTAATTTAATAGAAAATTAGCTATCAAGAAGCTAAACTGGAGTTTTTGCCATGAGATTGAGTATACGTGATGCTTTTGCTTTTTTTTCTACTTCCATATTATTTTTACATTTAATCTTATCGCATTACATTTTATATGGTCTTGTACTGCACAGTAAGCAAATGCGCCGGCGCAGGCTCAACTCCGTGACTAAAGCCCGTAACTAAAGTATTTTAGTCACGACCTTGGGTGTCTGTATTTAAAGGACTACTTTTTGTGTCTCAAAACCTGGCGCTTCAAAGGTGGAAGTAAAAACGAATATTACTTACGGTTGAATTCTGCACTGTGCATCCAGCATAACATGCTGAATAATAGGTGTATCCGTCCAAGCATACTGGTTCAAAGTCAGGTTCACAACCACAGTTAAAATTGCATTCTTTCAGAGCAATATTGTTTTTGAAGAAGTTAGTTTCATCGTTGCAAGAAAAAAATTTATGATTCACAAAAAGTGCCAATATTGTTGCGTACGCCGCAATTAACCAGTAAACCAAAAATTTGGTACTGGGCAGTTTGCGGATGAAGATTTTAGACATGATGAGAATAATTATAGATACGACAACAAGAATCCAAAAATGCAGTACATTGGGGTGGTTGTTATCACTGTGGAGTTTTAGATAATATGAAATATTAATTTTCTCGCTCATTGCACTGTAGTTAACGACGGCAGTATACATAAATATTGCAGATAATGAGTTCAACAGGAAAAGCTTAGAGGTGAAGAGAGAATGCAGACCATCAAAGAAACTAAAAACTGAAACATTAAAACAGCTAGTATTAGTAATATTTAATGTAATAGTAGTGGTTTAAGATTTTGTGCATCCATGTATGCAACCCTGGCAAATTAGTGTATTGTTGGTTGCCTGATTAAACGTCAACAGTTTAATTCAATTTGAACATATTGTGTTGAAATATTTCTTACCTTTGGCTGGTTGCTGACTTATTGTTTGACTACTCCTTTTCTTTGTCATGTACTTGGGAAATATTATTATTAATAAGCCAATAATAAATATTCCTGTCATAGGTAACCCCCACGCTAAAAAATAAATCTAAGTAATCTTTTTTTGGTTTAATATTCTGAAAAATAAATACCAAATGAATAAAATATTTGTATATTAGGAGTCAATATTAGGTGAAGTCCTATAAAACGGCCAATTTGAGCAGTGAAAACCATGAAACCTAAAACTCATTATCTCAAAACACTCCTTGTTATATTTAAATCAAAAAATCACTTGCCAATATACAAAGGTGTCAAATATTTATTCTCATCCAGATGAACAATTCCAAGCGTTACTATCGACGTGAACGATATTCCATTAAAAAACTGATACATCACCATATTTGCAATATTATTACTTTCCACATCATTGTTATAATTAGAATCGCATAAAATTTGATTACGAGCGTTATGATTTAAATGCACATTATTTGCATGATTCAGATTTGGAGTAATGAGCAACAATCCAATTATAGCGTGAAAAATGGCAAATATTCCTATGTAGAAAGGTCGATGGTTCAAATTGACATAATGTGCCATCAGCAATGCTGAAACTCCACCCGCAATTGGACTTAAAGAGATTATCCATTCTATAAATACAGATTATAGAATATTAAGTTGTTTATCAATTATAATTTGTTGTCAAACTTTTGAGTGAGTTATCTTTTGAGTGTTGAAATTTATTATAAAATATTGACTTACCTGAAAATGCGTCTGGCATGCGATTATCTGCACTCCAGATTTTGGTAGCACCAACAAAGTAACTTGATACCCATGCATGCAGCGTGACTAAACTGCTGAGAAGAATTAGAAATACTAAGTTATTCTGATAATTGTAGAACTTTTGCGTGACCATCTTGGAAGATTGCGTTATTGCAAATACTTTAGTGCATTTTAATTGAATTTAAACTGCACTTTATTGAAACACTATTTGTAGCATACCCACTATCTTAAAGGAAATTGATAAGGTAATCACAGATTGGAATTGGTATCTTTTAATGTAGTATTATTAAGTAATTATAATGATATTAAATTAGTTAATTTAATCTATGTATTTCATTTTATTTTTACAGTCAAGGTCGTGGCTACTTTAGTCACGGAATACAGCTTGCGTCTGTGCATTTGCCTACAGTATAGCGCAAGACAACACTATTCATTTCAACGCTCTATTTTGAACCTTTAAAGGAAAGCAAGGATACCAAGGTTCCAAATAGGTATTTATATTATGTTATACGTCCTTTATCTCTTGTACTATTATACTCTCTTCAAGTATTTCAGCACCATATTATAGTCCAAGAAGTCTTTTTTACGATGCATTATATTCCAACTCACTAGCAAGAAGTCTTTTTTACGATGCATTATATTCCAACTCACTAGATCCTTTGGAAAAACCCTAAAATGCCTTTCAAAAGTAGACAATTTTATGAATATTTGAAAACATGATGTAGAAAACGCCCTGTATTTCCTGAATTATTATATTTTCTGCAAGTTACTCAACGTCATATTATAGTCCAAGAAATTCTTTTTATGATGCATTTTATTTCAACCCTCTAAACCCTTTAAAAGTGCCATAAAATGCTCTTCAAAAGTTGTTAATTTTATGAAAATTTGAAAACACAATGGGGAAAACGCCCTGTATCTCCTGAACTAATATACTTTCTTTAAGTTTCTTAGCGCCATATTATAGACCAAAAAACCCTTTTTACGAAGCATTTTATTTTAACCTCCTTGACCCTTTATAAGTGAAATAAAATTGCTTTCAAAAATGAGCAATTTTATGAAAATTTAAAAACATGTTGTGGAAAATGCCTTATATCTCCTGAACCAAATGACTTTCCTGAAGTTTCTCGCCTTCAAATTAAAGTTAGAGAGTTCATCTACACGCTGCATACTCTTTGAACCTTCTAACCCTTCCGGAAATGCCCTAAAATGAGGTTTAAAAATTGCCATTTTTGTCCAATAAATTTCATTTTTTGGTCGAAAAACCGTGTCAAAATCGTATTTAAAATTATTTTCTGTCGAACAACAGGGTCGAAATTATTTTTAAGAAATTATTTTCGATTGAACAACAGGGTCAAAATTATTTTTTAAAAATTATTTTTGGTCGAACAACAAGGTCGAACTTTTTTTAACAAAATTATTACCTGTCCAACAACAGGGTCGAACTTTTTTCTTAAATTTTTTCAAGTCGAAATCGTCGAACTGCCCCTTCACCATCAAAAAGTTTAATAGATTAAATGGCGATTATCTAAGAAACTAATAAAGCTAGGAAAAAAAATTTCATAATCTTGATCCTTAGAGAATTCTTAACAAGACTTCATAAGTTTTGTAAAACGACCAAATTTGAATAAAAAAATTAAAGAAAAGATTTTATTAAAAAAATGGCAAAAGATTTCTCTTTTTTATGTCGAATGCAGTTTTCATTACAAGTTGCAAATAGAGCCCAAACGGTTAGTGTTAGCAAAAATTGTTACTAAAGTAATCGATGTAGAATTTAATTTTCTTTCAGAATCCGAAAACAGAATCAAATTCCAAATTTTAATTTCGAACATAAAAAAGAGAAATCTTTTGCTTTTTTTATGACGAAATCATTTTTCAGCAAATACAGTTTATGTAATAATTGGAATTTTTGAATTATGTTTTCGAATTCTGAATGTAGATTAAATTCTGAATCGGAAATCAGTAACACAATTAACGATTAAGGCCCTATTGGCATGTAAAATCAAATTTTTGTATTAAAATTGCAAATAGGGCCTAAACGGTCAATGTTATATTCTGTTTTCGGATTCTGCAAGTTAATTTAAATTCTATATCGACTATTTAAGTAATTATTTACTTAAGATTATCCCTATATTCCCTATTAATCATAATAACTCATGGAAATCCAACAAAAATCTGGCGGAAATTGTCTATGTCCACTTTCTGCGTTCCTAATATCACGAACTGATGAGCAGCTCAATATTTCCTCGACAAAATTTTGTTGAAAAATCCGATGAAATTCATACACAAAATCTTTTGAATATTAGGATCGCAGAATGTGCGAGTAGGCTGCTGAATTAATAATGAAACTTATTGTAACACCCAGTGGGGGAGTAATTTATTTACTCATAAACAGATGGCAGCGGTGGCAATATTTAAATAAATTTTGATGCAATATATAAACTGAAAATTGATTTTAAATTAATAGTAGACTTATTTGTTATATATAATTTTTAATTGTGTATTTTTAGGCAACTGCCAAAGCATGGTTTATAACTGTGCATTCCTGCAATCGTGAAACACTTTAAAATCAATTTTTAATTTAATATTTACCATAATTTATTTAAATATTGACACCACTGCCATCTGTTTATGAGTAAATAAATTACGCCACCACTGGGTGTTACAATAAGTTTCATTATTAATTCAGCAGCCTACTCGCACATTCTGCGATCCTAATATTCAAAAGATTTTGTGTATGAATTTCATCGGATTTTTCAACAAAATTTTGTCGAGGAAATATTGAGCTGCTCATCAGTTCGTGATATTAGGAACGCAGAAAGTGGACATAGACAATTTCCGCCAGATTTTTGTTGGATTTCCATGAGTTATTATGATTAATAGGGAATATAGGGATAATCTTAAGTAAATAATTACTTAAATAGTCGATATAGAATTAAATTAGCTTGCAGAATCCGAAAACAGAATATAACATTGAGAGTTTAGGCCCTATTTGCAATTTTAATACAAAAATTTGATTTTACATGCCAATAGGGCCTTAATCGTTAATTGTGTTACTGATTTCCGATTCAGAATTTAATCTACATTCAGAATTCGTAAACATAATTCAAAAATTCCAATTACAGAAGGTGCATTTGGTGAAAAAAGATTTCGTCATAAAAAGGGCAAAAGATGTCTCTTTTTTATGTCGAATGGATACACGATATGTACCCTTTCGAAAGTGCCCTAAACTTTGATTTAAAAATAGTAATTTGTGTCCATTACATTATTTTTTTCGATCAAAAAGGCAGTCTTAAAATCGAAGTTAAATTTTTTTTTGATTGAACAGCAGGGTCGAAATTATTTTTTTTAATAATTTTTGGTCGAACAACAGGGTCAAACTTTTTTTAACAAAATTATTATATGTCCAACAACAGGGTCGGACTTTTTTCTTAAAATTTTTCCGGTCGAAACTGTCAAGTGACCCTCCACCAAGAAAAAATTTAAATGAGTTGATGCTAATTATCTCGAGAACTAAAAGGGCTAGAAGAATATAAACTTCATATTCTTGATCCTTGAAGGAGTCTCTACAAGATGGCATCTTTATTAAAAAACGATCAAAATGGCACAAAAAATTTTTGCAGAAAAGATTTTGTTATAAAAAAGGCAAAAGATTTCTCTTTTTTATGTCGAATGCAGTTTTCATTAAAATTTGCAAATAGGGCCTAAATGGTAAATGTTAACAAAAAAAGTTACTTAAATAATTGATGTAATTAAATTATCTACAAGAATCTGAAAACAAAATAAAAATAATCCAAGTTTTAATTTCTCCCTTTTTCTCACACACCCACGCTCGCACTCAGCTTATGTGAACGAAGAAGTGAATGTGTGTGTGTGTGCGTGCAAATTCGGGCCGAAAACCAATGGTAAAATCGGTTTGTGTTATTCGGATCCCAGAAAGTTGAGGAGGCTGAAAATTTTCGCGGGCATTTCGACGATTTGTGAATTGCACTTTCTCTCTCCTTTCTCTCTCTCGGCATGGGCGTGAATTTTACGTTCAATGTCGTATCAAAATCAAAGTGGATCGGGAAACACAAAAAAGGCATTTTTAAGGTTTCCCAAGCAGTAATCTCACAAATTTTGTATGAAAATTATACAGAATTTAAATATCTTTAATTTGGTGTATAAATAGTTGTCCTACGACATCGCATTCGCTCGCAAACCACCAAAAACTACAAAAATTAGTTAACCAAGGAACACAAAAAGCGCAGTTTTATTGGTTTTCCGTTGGCTAATCCAACATATTATATATGAATGTTAGGCAGAATTTAAATATATTTAATTTGGTGTAAAAATAGTTGTCCTACGACGTCGCATTCGCTCGCAAACCAAAAAAAACCTACAAAAATTAGTTAACCAAGGAACACAAAAAGGGCAGTTTTATAGGTTTCTTGTGGGTTAATCCAACATATTGTATATGAATATTAGGCAGAATTTAAATATCTTTAATTCGGTGCCAAATCATTGTCCTACGACATCGCATTTGCTTGAGAACCACCAAAAACTATAAAAATTAGCCAACCGAGAAACACAAAAAGGGCAATTTTATAAGTTTTCCAAGGGTTAATCCAATATATTATATTTAAATATTATGCAAAATTTAAATATCTTTAATTTGGTCTACGCCACTGACCTTTAGACAACGGCCCTAGCATGGTTTATATCCATGCATTTCTGCGATCACAAAAGGCGTGGCTAATGCTTGGATAGAAAACCGTATGGACATCCCCCTTGCATTAGTGGGTTTAAGTTCTGTTTCAGCGTTAGTTACTCAAGCTACCAGTACCATCTCGCCTACTGCACTTTCTGCAATCCTAATATTGAAAAGAATTTTGTGCCTAAATTTCATCGGCTTTCTCAACAAAATTTGGTCGAGGAAATACGAAAATTGAGCTGCTCATCAGTTGGTGATATTAAAAACGCAAAAAGTGGGCATAGACTCGCTCCAAAGTATTGCTAGATTTCCATGAGTGCGTTATGATTAATAGAGCCTATATAGTTAATAATTACCTTAATTGTCGATTTCATATTAAATTATTTATTAAAATCCGAAAATCCAAAATAGAATAGCATCGCAGCGTCTTTATCTACGGACTAATCTCTATCAGATAGGATAGTTAAAAG